AAAACAAATGATAAATTTTCATATAGAAAAATTCCAGGACTTTTCATTCGTTTTTCAATATTTGGTGTAGAGAAGCACACCGGGGTACTGCTAGTATAAATATGTAAGTATACACGCAAACATTTTCTATAATTACTGGTATAGAAAGACAATGAACTCTGAAAAGAATTACTATTTTATTCAACAAAAAAACCTTTGTGTAACACATAAAGCATATTAAGGGCCACCAACTTACCTATTTTAAAGTATAGTTAAATCGTTAACGGATAAGATAACGGCCCAGAAACGTAAGGAACATACATAGAAATATGTTTACTTGCCTTAAAGGAAAGGCGTTCGCTTTATGAGCGAAGAGTTAAATTCATGAAAATCATAAAAAAAATTTGAATGTCAATGATGAATAAATTTTGAAAAGGGCTAAAAAAAGGGCTAGGGGCAATTTCAAATTTTTGTGGCCAAAAAAAGGATTTGGTAGTCAAATTTAGCCACCAAAGGGCTAAAACGGCAACACTGGTGGGCAATAAGGATGTTTACGTGTGTATGTACATATCTATGTTTGTTCATAAAAGTAGCAAGTTTGAGGCATCCGTTTTGTGTACGTATGTTGTGTATGTATGTATGTGTGTACGCGCCACTCTGGGGAGGAGCTTTTAAGTGTGTAAAAGCACTTGTGCAAGGGATGAATTTGTTGTTGACGAAAGAAGCCTTGGCGGCGATCCCTTGTTTTCATATTACTATTTTAAGACGGCACAGATTTTGTTTTGTGCTAGTCATTCAAGCATGGAATAAATGTACATTAGGGTGCTTCAAAAATGAATGTAAAAAAGTAAAGTCGGAATTTTTATGCTCTCACCATCTAGGGTTGTTCTATATCGAAAAAAATAACCACAATTTTATAATTTTGAAATCAAAAATTATTTAATTAGAGATCGCTCAATGAGCTTAAAGTATTCCTTGTATTTTATATGGGGAAAAAACAGAAATGGAATAGAATTTTCGAAAATCAATGTTTTTCGTTCGGAGAACTCTGGTTCTCTTCAGGAGACTTCCAATAAGATTACCCAATTTTTTATTTAATAATTTTTTGGTACTACCGATTTTTTTTTTGTCCCCCCCATAGCATTTTCTGAGGTTTTTGGCGAACCTTTAACAAGTAGTTACTGGGAAATAAATAAATAGGTTAATTAAACGTTTTTTCCCCATATAAAATACATGAAAAATTTTGAGCGCTTTGAGCGACTCCTCTAAGTATTTTTTGATTTCAAAATTATAAAATTGAGGATGATTTTTTCGATATAGAACAATCCTAGAGGGTGAGAGTATTAAAATTCCGACTTGACTTTTTTGGCCCACCCCAATGTACTTACATATGTATGTATGTACATAAGTGCAAGCCAAAGGTAAAGAGTGTAAAAGAAAAGTTCGTTAGAACTTATACGAAAAGGCATGCATGTATATGTATGTATGTATATGTTTATAAATAATTCTCAGTAAGCGATGCCCTCATTACATATGAATGTATGTATGTACATATAAATGAAGATGTATGGGTGTGCAAAAATTCTTGAAGGTTGCGAAGTAGGAGGACCATTAAATATTTGCGCAAACTTTTGTGATCTAAAGGAAGGAATACAGTTTAAACATAACTGGTAAATTGACCCGTCCCAATTTAAACATGTATGAATGGCTGGCCTTTTGTTATAAATACGTACATACATACATAAGTACGTACTTACCACTTCTTATTTACTCCATTTTCATTCATTCGCAATACTTTTCATTCATTAAATCAAGTACAAAAAATAAAAATGACCCTTCCTTTCTATTAATTGCAGATTGGGTTTCATATCACAATGGGGCGCTTTAGCTGGTCGTTATGCAGCACTGTGTCCTCCAGGTTGGCCCTGGGCGCCGCAACGTATGCCTTTTCATAGTCCCACACATGGTAAGTAACTACTTATCGATATTGGTAAATTGATATGCATCGTAAATACGCTATTGATTAAACGTACTGTTTTTGTATTGGGAGTGCATTTAAATGGTTTGTTAGCCATTCTACTGCAAGTGTTGAAAAGTGGCTTATAAAAAAAATATTGATGAGAAGGTTATTTCTTGTGATTCGGAGTACGCCTTACAAATACATTGCCTTCAAACTGTGTATAATTTAATTTGAAATTTTTAAACAAAATGTTTAGCCAGAGTTTGAAAAAATATACTTATATTTTTTTAACCGCAAAAATTCGTAAAAATTTTTACTGAAATCTGATAAATTTTTACATATTCGTGAAACTCATTCAAATAAATTAATAAACTCGCTGAGTTATAGCTGGTCAAAGTAAAAATATTGCCGAAATTTTGCGATTAAAAAAAATTAAATCTCTTCAACATTATTTTTTGTAAATTTCGTGGTTGCCTTTATTTTGTTTGCAGAAAATATTTGAAATTGAAGGAACACTGTAATGTATGTATGTATATTAGGGTGGTCCTTAAATGTAAGAAGAAACGAAGATTTTCTAAGCCTTAACTCCTACGTCGATGTTACTATAGGCGAAGATATAACATATAAATTTTGGTCCCGATTAGAGACGGTTAAGGCGTGTCGCACAGGGGGGCAAAGTTCAGGTTCCTCTATGGAGACTGAAAAAATTAAAATTACTATTTTTTCATCTAATACTACCATAGTTGGTTATACCATAGTTGGTTATATCACATATAAATTTAGGCCCCGATTTAAGTCGGTTAAGACGTGTCGCAAATGTGTCAAATTTGAGATTACGTTATGAAGACATCTTAACCGACTCCAATCGGGACCAAAATTTATATGTGATGTACTCGAATTTAGCAGTACCGACAAAATTCAAAACTATTTAAGGAAAATATTACTTATATTGAGGAAATTATTACTTAATTTTTGTAGTGAAAATCTGTAGTTAACTGCCGATTCGGAGTTAACTATGCACTGTGAATTTGGCCCTGAGTAAATTTACTTCCTCAAATTAATGACGCCCTATTTATAGCATGAACCTGAATTAAAAAAAAAACTTCACTAATCGAGTTATTTTTAATAAGGATACTATTTTATTGTTTTAAGGAAATGCTTTTTTCTGAGTGTGTAAAAGATTTCTGAGAAAACGGCAATATTCCTAGGTTATCGTGATACTGTTTGTAGTGATTCAATTACTGGTTGTTGCAAAGGTTGCTGCTTTTAACTTTTCAGTGGACAAATTAAGAAAGAAGTTCACATTTCTCAGGTATCAAGAAATATATAGTTTGGCAACATTTTTCAAAAATTGCACTATTTAAACGATTCTGCTTTCATGCGAATGTTAAAATAACTGCATTCAAACATATTAAAAAAATAAAATTAAAAAGTGGCCAATTTAGAACCCTCGATCCGCAAGGGTTAACATTTTTTCTCTTCCAAAAGTGTGGGAAATTAAATGCAGATCAATAAAAAGCTCATATTTTTTAAATCATCTACTTATTTAGCCGTAATTAGTTTTGACCAGAAAAACAGACATTTTGACCTTAGTGCACCGGTAAGTTAGTCCGCACTTGAGCTTTCTTCACCCCATTTTTTTTTGTTTTTTAAATACATACATACTCGTACTACGTCATACTTGCGCTTAGCGCTGCGTGCGACATTCTAATACTTTGCGGAATTCGCGCAATGTCTTTGACAAGTGAATTGACACCAACTAACGGTACTTAATTCACAAGCATTCTTCAAATACCTTTTACGAAAAGCCATTGCTTGTTGCTTAATCGCCACTTTGCATAATCGTCGAATTCTTTGTGGCATTCTTGAGTGTCGCCTAAGTCTCACCGCCGATTCGCCTTCACCTTACATACCTTTCACAATTGATTGCAATTTGAGGCATAGATACAAAGTGTTTGCACAAGCAAGCACACGTGAGTATCTAAGCACGAAAATTCATTAGCAACGAAGGCAAGAGCACTTAGGCTCATGCATACAACGCATTGAATTGCTTGCTGGTGCATCGCTCGGTTTTCAATTAATTGCAATTTGTAGCAGGCATTAAGTTACGTTGCTTAAGTACTATATACATTGCAGTACATTGGTAAAGGTTTTTCGCCCATAAATGGTCAAACACGAATGTATGTAACATATATTGTACATATATACACACATATCGATATGCAATACATATATGTATATGCATCTAAGCTGGACTGCTCGTCGGGTGGGTGTATCGACAGTCAGGTGGGTGGGTAAGTGCANTAATACATATGCATTTAAGCTTGACTGCTCGTCGGGTGGGTGTATCGACAGTCAGGTGGGTGGGTAAGTGCATGTAGGGTGTACGTCCATTTGAGTGAATGCATTGTGGTGCGGGCAATTTTCGCAATGTGGAGGGGTTTGCGAGGCGCGGTGTGAATTCGGGAATTACCAATAGTTTAAGCCTATTTAATTGGCCCCTTGAATTAAGTAACTACAATTGCAATTGAATTTGTTCATGTAAATTGGCTTTAAGTTTGTACGTTATTATCGCTGTTGGAATGTGAGTACTTAGCCATATAGCGCAGAATTGCAAACATATACAAGTATTCATTCAGTTAATGGCATTCGAATAACCCTGTAGGCAAAATTTATGAAGTTTAAATTATTACATGGTAAACGTTTTTTTTTTTGTCAAAAACTTTTAAAGACGTGACCAGAGAAGACGGTTTCTCCCTGTTTCGGGTATGGGGAATCGAACTCCATCGTACGTTTTTTTAAGATTTGTCCACGCCTTTATAATTTTTTTTTAATTTTGCCTCAAAGTGAAATTTTTCAGGTGCCCAAATTTTTTTGAACATAAACACCAAACCTTTAAAGATAAGTCTTGGACACTTTACGGTTTAAAATTCTAAAGCAGTAGCATATTAATTACACAGACGCAACAAAAATATGTTGTGAACCAGGGACTAAACCTCAATATTTCTACGTTTATGGGTCGCTGACAACGAATATGACCGTACAAAACCGCTGACACCGTAAATGACTACAAAAAAAAAGAAAAAAAAAGTGAATTGGATCCCATTCTCACTCCCTATAACCTACCTTATGCTCCCTGAACGGGGTTGAATTTTAAAGTTTCTAAAAATTAATATTGTAGGGTAAGGCCATGTCGAATGATCCTCGAAAATTTCGATTCTGTGAAACCATTTAAATTTTATGCTTTAGTATCGGGTCACAATTTTGCTTCATCTCTCCCACAATTTTCTTTTATAGTGGGTTATACGCATAATTTTATATGAATATTGACTTCAAATATAATTTTAGTGTATAGAGACCACTAGTAAAATTCAAGGAGCAGTAATAATTATGACCCTTATTTTGAAGAAACTCCATGTGAGCTCACTAAAAATGGCAGATGAAGAGTTAAAATGTTCTACGAAAAATTTAAGCAGGGCATAAAGATGAAGAGACCCCCAAATCAATATATAAATCGAATTCTTCTCTCCAGAAAAAAAGAAAAATTTAGTGAGTAACTTTTTTAAACAAAATTTATCTTTATATTGCACGCATCATAGGCCACTCTGGCCCTTTTCGGTAGAAGTTAACCAAAACTATTAAGTAGGAAACTTAAATAGCGCACACCGAACATAAAATAGCCCTCTAATTAAACATGACTGCGCTTTTATTATATTCATCGCACAACTGCATGTAGATTGATATGTATGAATATTTTTAAATAGTAGGTAAAATTTCTTGGAGGGGCATTTGTAGAGGTTTTGCCACAACCAAGATACATAACTATGTAGGTATATACGAGTACATATTTATATACATACAAATGTATTTAGTGACAGTTTCGCTTTCCAACATGCCGCGGTTTCCGTTAAGCGCCTGTTATAGTGCGAGTGCAAATATGTCTTCACACAAATATATGTAATACTCATATTAGACTAGACTACATATGTTTATACTAATTGTTAATTTAGATTCAAAACTATGCCATTTACTGCAGAGTGATTCGAGATTAAACATGCCACGCATGGTAAAAATTTAATATTTCATGCTAAAAAATACCATATCTAGTTAGTGATTGTGCTCATTTGAAATTTCCCAACCATTTTTAAAGATAAAACACTGGAAATAAGAAAAATTCTGAGAAAATTTCGGAAAAAGGGAAAAAAATCATGAAAAAATGATTAAGAGTTAAAATACAAGTCGAATATTAATCAATATTTTTTTTCTTTTGAACATTTCGGCATATCCTTAAAAGGCGAAGTTAAGATTGGAAAATAGTACTTTGGGGCCTGAAGGCTCCAAAACAAAAAAAAACATTAAAAAAATAAAAAGACCGGAAGCAGTTCTGAAATGTTCCGAAAAAAAACTCTAAAAATTCCGAAGATTTCAAAAAAGTCACGAAAAAGTACCTTAAGTTTCCGAAAAATCAAACACGGCGAACGCGGGTAAATCCCGAGAAAATATAGCACATGAAGCATAAAAAAACTGAACGATGCCAAAAACCGCCCGAAAAAGTCGCGAAAAAATTTCGAAAAAAAAAATAGAATAGCGAAAAAGGAAAAAGATTTAAAGACACGATGTTCCAAAGGCGTACTGAATAGCTTCCATATCAGTCTGCTGTTACCTTAGCTCAATAGCTACTGAGAAGCAAACGATACCCTTAAACTTTTCAAGTGCATTATACATCGAACGCTTCGGTAAGGTTTTTGCTGGGAGCGGAATTAACGCTTTGGCAGCAGCAATGAGAGCTGAAAATTAAATCCAGTATTCAGATGCCATCTGCCGATGTTCAAACTTTATGCAAAACTTAAAAAAACTTAAAAATTTAATTTTTTTAATGCAGATAAATCAGAATGCACTAAATTTAAGTGCACTAAGGTGTAGGCTTTAAGTTAGTTGTGATTTTCTATTTCCGTAAATTGGAGGTGGCGGCGAAGAAAATGCCTAATATAAATTTGCCTAAGGACGTAATGCGAAATTCCTGCACTCGTTTTTAGCCAATGCCATAAATATACATATTTTTAAAGTATCCACAAAACGAACTTCTGCTCCTTTTAAGTTTGAAAGTTGAAAGTCCAAAAAATCGACCGACTGACAGCCATTTTAAATAGTAACACAACACTCACACTTGCTTGGCATAGGCGTGAGTTTGGTGGCGGCACAAATAAGCAGAAGTTGGAAACAAACGCCCACTGGCTGCCACTTAATTGCATTTTCCACCACTAAGAAATGCTGACAGACAGAAAACAAAATAATAAATAAGCACTTAATACACACATATTTTACACGTACTTAGTATACCGAATATGGTGTGCAGCACCTCTACATACATATGTATACAAACCCCACTCTTGGCTCAATACACGATGTCTGTACGAGCGAGCGCGCTTACTCTTTGCGTTTGCGCCTTGGTAGCGTGCTGAGTTCACTGAGAAAAGTTAAGCGAGTAAGGTTAAGCGCGGGAAATTCAATTTTCCATCAAAAGATACACTGACACACCATTAGTCATATGCCACGTTTTAGCTTTTAGCAACAACCCCGGAAGCTAAAGCTGCTTGCCAACCAAGCCAATACGCTTAACAGCCAATACAAACCACTCTCATTTTGCAGTAGCTATCTCAATTTAACGCCATTTTCTCACAACAATTTGCAGACTCTCGAACTAATTACAAATAAGTATATACATATGTAAATTCGTATTTTCTTTGTCTTTGCAGACAGTTCCTCCACCAATACAACGGAGAATCCCTCCTCGCCCACATCGCTCAGCCCTAATCATATCGGGAACAACAATGGCAGCCACAATCACGGTAGCGGCGCCAACAATGGCAATAACAATGGCACCAAATCGCCTTCGCCGCATGGCTACAGCCACAGTCAACAACAGCATCCACATCTGAATCATCCGCATCAGCCTACAACGCCCACCAGCAGTAGCGGCGGCAGTGCCGGACATCCGCATCTCAGCCATCACAGTTCGCATTCGAATTCGAGTTACTTGCTGCCCACCAGTTCCAACGAGTCGGACGACGATGGCGAGGAGATCATCGAAGAGGATGATGGCAACGATGGTCCTTCGGATGGCTCCTCGCCGCAGGGTGGCGATTCGAATCAAACGAAACGCAAGAAAAAGACACGCACAGTCTTCTCGCGCGCACAAGTCTTTCAGTTGGAGTCCACATTCGATATGAAACGCTACCTCAGCTCGTCGGAGCGCGCTGGCTTGGCCGCCTCGCTGCGTCTAACCGAAACTCAAGTGAAAATTTGGTTTCAAAATCGCCGCAATAAATGGAAACGTCAATTGGCGGCTGAACTGGAAGCAGCCAATATGGCGAATATGGCGCATGCTGCCCAACGCTTAGTGCGCGTACCAGTGCTCTATCACGATGGTTCGGGAACGGGATTTGTGCCGCCACCACCGCCACATCATCACGCAATGCAGTACTATGCGGCAGCAGCAGCACGCAACACCAGCCCACCACGACCGCCACTCTCGTCGCTGGTATAGGGCGTGGGGTGCCTGGCGGCTGCGGTGGGATCCAACTGCGGTGCTCCCATTTCGCTGCTCAAGCCGCCATATGTCAACCATGCGCCAACAACGCCAACGCCAACGTCACCATCAACGCACGATATGGACGATTCGGAAGGGCAAGAGGAAGCCGCTATCGATGTGGAGGCAGATGAGGATGAAGAAGAATTGCCTGAAATGAAAGCGACGCTAGCAAATGGTAATGGGCTGATGGCAACTGCTGGAGCTGGCGATGGTGATGGGCTACGAAAGCCAACACCGTTCGAGCTGTTGGCGAAAAGTGTTAATTGCCTGGAGATGCACAGTAGCGCCAATGGCAAAAAGCTGAGTGCACACCACAAAGTTGGTGGTGGTGGTGGTAGCGCGGAGGGTGCGGAAAAGCTCGCAACAGCGCACAAGGCATACTAAATGGAAAATGGATTCGGAGCAGTGTGCCAGCGAAGCGGCAGCGAGGCTCTACTACCAAATGTGTTGTAAATTTTTATCGACTTCATAGTGCCACAAAGTGAAATATTGTAACGGAAGTGTAGAAAAGAAATTGAAAACTGGTTTCACAGACAAAGAATTTCGCTTGTTTCAGATTTAAAATAGGGTATAAGTATTTAAGAAAAGAATAAAGAAATGTAAATAGCGTGGAAAGGAAAAGTGTGACCAAATTTGTATATACATATATATATATAACTCCCGGCGTTCTGTGTAAAATATTTCTGCGTGCTATACATACATACATACTTAGCAATCAATGTTCAAAAGTGTAGGTTTCCGATTTGCAAAAAATTGTATGAAAATCAAAATTTAATAAAAATTATAAATTCCGTAAAATATGATAGGAACAAAAATTTTCGCTCTCAATTTCTCTACTTACTGCATGCACATTAGGGTGGTAAAAAACAAAAGTAAAGTCGGGCTTTTAATGATCTAACCCCGTAGGATTGTTCCATACCGCAAAAAATTTACCCGTTTTTAATTTTGAGATCAAAAAATATTTAGAGGTCGCTCAAAGCGCCCAAAGTTTTTCATGTATTTTATATGGAAAGTAACTATGCAGGTCCGGATTTTTTGAAAATCAATATCTTTCGATTGGGCATTATTGGAAGTCTTCTGAAGAGAAACAGAGTTTTCCGTTCGAAAACTAATGATTTCCAAGAATTCTATACCATTTTCTCGAAAATTTTTTTCCCATTGACCGCTTTGATTGACCTCTAAATATTTTTTGACTTTGAAATAAAAAACAGGGGTATATTTTTTCTATATAGAGCAGCCCTAGGCGGCAAGAGCATTAAAATTCGGACTATACTTTTTTTTTAATACATTTTTGGACCACCCTAATGTACATACATAGATATATGTACATATACGTTGGTATTCTAAATAAGTCTCTTTGCTCAATGTTTGTATAAAAAGTTGAAAAATTTCCGAAAATGTAAAATTGTAAAAAAGTCCTATTTACCATAAAGTACATATGTATGAGGCCAGGGGCGCCTATCTACAAAATTTATATAAAAAATAAATGCGGTCTTTTACCAAAAAGTTCTTTGTACCTATGTACGTGAAGCTACATATAATAGTAAAGGAATACTAAAAGGACGTGCCTCGGACCTCGGAGCACCTCAACTCAGTTAGGCTACTCTGACCCCAATGGCCTCATATGTAAATCCAATTGTAAGCCCATACTCAAATTCGTGTTTGTAAATTATGTGTGCGTGTTTGTTTTTATTAAGAAAAGAACTCTGCTAAATGGTATATATGTAGTACTAAGTTATTCGATTAAGGAGTTAATGTTCATAAATATAGACAACGCGTTTGTGCGTACGCATATCTAAATATTTACGTGTATAAAGCCAAAAAGAAATATGTAGATATAGACTTGTACTTATATATGTATGTATGTAAACGTAAGCATAAATATATCACTAATTAATACAAGTACATAATTACCTTACTATAATTACCAATTACAATTAAAACAGCCCCAGATAGCGTATAGCTAAATTATGCCATAATAAATGTTAATATCATATCTAATTGAAAATTTATTAAAAAGATACTAGCATAAATAAAGAATTGCTAATTTATGCAAAAAGTGAATTATCTAAATTACAACAAATAATAGAAAATGTGTTTTATTTATATTTATTGTGCTTGAAATGCAAATGTAGAATAGCGCTTGTTACAGACCTTTGTCTTAGATACCGAAAGGTCGGCCACTTCTTCTTGATTGCCGGTGTAATCGCCTAGTCGGTTTTGGCCAAGTCCAATAAAGCATGCCAGTAGTTTCTCTTCGGTACTTTTCCGCCTGATTTCATCACAGCGAAGGCCTTCCTCTTTTTATGCCACCACCAACTGGATAGGCGTTAAAGATTTTCATAGCTGGGGCGTTCGAGTCCACTCGTACGACGCTCTATAGCAGGGGTTCCCAAACTTATTTCACAGCGGCACCCTTGTTGTGCTAAAAAAATTTCGCGGCACCCCCCTATTCTTCAAATGTCTACGAAAACAAGAAAACACTATGCAAACTTTATGCTTGTTCATGGCTTTTTATCGATGTTTGAAACGTTTATAATTAGGTATTTTTTTTTAATTTTTGGATGTCTAGAGACGGTTGTTTTGAAATCTTAATTTTTCGAATATCGATTAAACCGGATTTTTTTTTCAAATCGAAAAACCCATTTTTTTCATTTCATATAAATCTTGACGTCTCAATAAAAATTTTGAGCTTTTCGAAGCTTTCGAGGCTTTTTCCAGTTTGAAGGAAAACATTATGGCTATCTTCTTAAACGCGTTAATGGAAAGCAGCAGTCTCTACTATTTCTGAACTGTAGGAGATAAAAGCATCCAGTTTGCGCCACTTTACTAAAAATTGGTATTCATGGTTACGCATGGAATGGATATTGATATAAGTCATGATTTGGAAAAAAGAGAGACTGCCTATATAATTTTAGATTCTAATAAATGAATGTGTGGCGCTTAAACATTCTGTACGTGTTTAGCCGAGATTCTCCACTAATTCGTATTCTTTTACTCCACCGAAGAAGATTTTTATGGCGAAAGCACAAATTTTGTTGTTGTTGCTGGGACCAGAAATGGAACTATAGGCAGCAAGAGCACTTGAACAGAAACTCAGAAAAAAGTCAGAAAAATGCAATAATTTAATGTTAAAACTTTAATTGTATTTTGCTTTGTTCTTTTCTAAATAAAAGCCATTTTTACGGTTAATAGTTTTATTGTAATTTTTGGATATGATTTCATACCAACAAAAGCATTGTCACTGAATGAAAAGTATTTAAAATTAATTATTCGGTTCTTTGTTAATTTCAGAATCAACAACCGCTTTTTTTTGAAATTGCAATTTTTCGAATAACTCGAAGAGCAATTTTGGAAAAAAATTCAAATAATCGAACACCCTAATAAGGACTAAATTTGGAAGTCAAATATTCATTGGTACGCCCTTTATGGTTTTTTGATGTAAGGTTTGTTTGCGGCTATGCTTTAACCCTCATACGATCCTAAAAAAAATCACACTTATTTCTTCCAGGGCGAAATATCACCCACTGCTTTTCATTACGCATTATGTGATCTTTATGTTACACAAGTAACAAAATAGGCTTATTTTTTATAACATGTGGCCATTACTGACAAACACATTAAACGTGATATTTTTTTACTTCATAATTGATACATAATTTGAAATGTATTTGGCTTTACTTCTCAAAAGGGCTGAATTTTAACCCGAAGATCGTATGAGGGCTAAGCAAACCAATCACGCCTATTTTCTTATTTTTCCTGAATTAAGTATGTCTATGAAAATTACTTACATATGGAAAATTGATGCCCTATTCCTTAAAATTTTTTTCCCATAAAATATATGTTGATCCCCACTGTGGGATGTGACCGATCCAGCGGACTCGCTATATTGTTTTCTTTTCTAAATAGCTTTCTCGTTTGGGCGCGAGCTAAAGTGAAAAGGCGTAAAACGTCATGTGGGCTGGATTTGGGTCCTGCCATGTTAAAACTCCGCCAAAAGAAAAAAAACATGCTGCGGATGAGACCCCCTTTTTTGGTGACGGCCACGGAAGACGTATAAGGGACTATGATTTGAGGATATATGTTGTTGAGTTTTGTTTTATTTAAACAATCTAAGCAATCTCTGTATTTGTAATTTTAGAATATTGTCATATTTTTCTCACTTGAAAACTTTTATTCAAACCAAACGTGTACATTTTTCTGGAATATTAAATCTTTTCTTATATACAACCAAGGACTTTAATAGGTTATGGGCGACTTAAAAGATCATGGTATTCTGCAATTTGCCGGCACGGGGTTTGATGATTGGCGATTCAGAGTGAGGATGCACCTGGATGCGCTCAATTTGGCGGATGTTTTAACTGACATTCCGCCAACTGCTGCTGATGCAAAAGCGGAATTTGTAAGGAG